AAAATGCATAATAAATCACTCGCCTAAGTCAATAAATGAGTGCATAGAATGTGTAAGCATGCAGCTGCCCTAATAGTGAATAATGCAATAATCACCTCATGAAACAATGATGAATAAAAGCAGCGCCCAACAAAAAAAAAAATATATATATTTTTATATATAAGGAAGTACATGGAGAGACCAAGAGGTGCTAGGTCTGCAGGAGTGGAGCAGAGGTGATCTGGGAGAAGCACTGTCTCTTTTCCATCCTGCGATTGATCTTTCAGCCAGTGTTCGATGTGTGTGATAAATTAGAACTACAAAGAGGGGAGAGAACAATCGCCCAGCTGAGATAAGCGTCCCCTCAACAGGCAGTTCCAGCAGAAGTACCCTTACCAGACAGATTCAGAAATTGCTGCTTGCATGGTACACATGTCATCTGATGGGGTTGAAGTGTGGCACAATAGCACTGCATATGTAATATGTTTTGTTGCCTAAATGGCAACTGTCTGAAACAGGGGTGTCACTGCTTGTGATGCACATATTTGACAATTGGAAAATGCATATTTGGACCCTAGCCAGGAAATGCAATACCTTCCTTCTAAGGACTGGAGTTGGGTGATGTCCTGTTGTGTGCTTTGCAGTAATGTACAGAACTTGAACAACTTTTCATTACATGTCTGTCATCTTGGGCATATTTGGCCCTAATAATGTGATAAGTGTGACTCATTAGGAGTGCCGATGCATGAATTTGATTTGCATAGCTCTATGTTGGAGGACTGGTTGTTAACACTTTATTCTAATTATTTGTGATTCACTCAATACTGCTGTGACTCCAGGATGTCCAGGAGATCGTATATGGCCCTGTGCTTATATCTGCTAATTATAACCTGAAATAATTACCTTATATTGTCTGATTACACATGCAGAATAATCTCATACTTTTACCATCAAACTGTTAATGCAATCTCATGAAGAGACAAATATCCCTGCAACATTTATTAAGATGTCATCAAACTGAGGATTTGGTCATGTAATGCTCCTAAATTGATGTAATTCCTAACTTCTGATGATATAACTGTGAATCATTGAAATCCCTCTGGGAATCCTGAAAGCAAGATTTTTACATTACACTTACCTACTGACGATGGTCTGAATTTAAGAAGGCCCACAACTGGCTGTGTGTTGGCACCAGAACCTTGCAGGTCACCGCCCATTTATTTTTGGATAGGACAAGTACCCATCTGCTGATGATTCCCTTCACCATCTTGTGTCAACTCCTGGCCTAGGCCTACTGACATCCCTGGTTGTAGGCCTTAAAGTTGAACCTTAGTCAGAAAATTAAGTCCTGCTAGATCACTTCAGGCTGGCCCCTTTTTCAGATATGTAGCTATGTAAAATAATGTACAGTAACGCACTGCCTCACCCTGCTCTGCACATGTTCAGTTGCTCTCTATTTTTTGGCACTGTGCTTAAAATGTGGAGGCCAATCTGCTGACAGTTTAAAGATTTACTGCTGCTCAGGGACTCTGGACTTCAGCAAAATGGCAGCCTCCAGCAAGAAGAAACAGGAACAATTTACAGCACATAGGTGCCTTCTTTAGTATGCCAGTCTCTCTCTCCATCTCCCTTTCTATGGCTCTGCCTAGCTGGGCACACTCCAAGATGACACACTTATTCCCAGGTGTACTTGTACTCACATCAGAGGACTCCTAACCTGGCCTTAAAAGCCTTTTGCATCCCACTCACAGCCTGAAGCAAACCATAAAAAGTGTCAGGGTGACTACATCTGATCCTACTGGGTGTTGAACCACCTCACTCAGTTTCAGCTTTGTCCAGTGCCCTTGGCAGTAGCTTACTACATCCAAATTGCTCTGAGGTGTTTGGCTCCTATTCCCCGTCCCAGAAAAGGCTTTCTCCCATCCTGTATGCCACATTATTTGGGACAGAGGGTACTCTTTTAATCTTCATGCACACCCAATTCCTTTACATACTGAAAAATATCTTTTTAACCCTCTTTTTTTTACCACCTTTTTAATTATTTTGCAAAAAGTTGCACAGAGCTAGTACTTTTAAGATACTTTTAGACAATAATACAACAATCTTCATGCATATTTTTGGGAGAGTATTCAGCAAATGATTCATTTACATAAGCAGTTCCTTTAAAGAGGTGTGCCTCAGTTTTTACACCCTTTAGGTCTTTTTAATTCAAGGCAGGATGGTCTTTTTTACGGCTACTAGTGCAGCAAAAATCTCCTTTTGTAACAACTGCCGCTCACTGGATATTTTTTTTTTTTTTTTGTACTTCTCTTTTTTTGAAATATGCCCGCCGCACCAATACCATTTTTAAGTCACTTAAAATTTTTTTTTCTAATCTTTGCAAAAAGTTGCACAAAGCAGCTCCAGTGAGCTGTAACAAAAAGTAGAGATAAAGCGAAGGCTGAAACAAAACACCTACACAATGCATAGAATCAGAGTTTACACTTAGAGCTGCCGTTTGGCATAATACACTTTAAGAATAAAACAACCCGTTTATAGTGAAAAAAGCATACAGCCCTCAATCCAGAGTAGATCGTATCCGACACTGCACATTGCAAAAAGCTCTGGTATTACATTTCCAGATCTGAACAATCATAGCCTGTGGTGAGGACTTTGTCAACTGAGGAGGTCGCCATACTACACTCATTTATTTTGAGAGCCACATTTTTACTTAGGTACACCCCATACCGGTTCATCCCCCAAGAAAATATCCCCCACACCAGTACACCACCACCCCATATAGTAATTCATCCCCCTATAGTACCGTTAATAAAATTCCCAGGATGGATCCATGCTTTCATGTTATTTACGACTGTGAGAGGAAAGTTTCACGCTGCCCCCCTACATCCATCTGAATGTTGCAGCAACAAGGTCCGCCGGGCCGTAGTTTGCCCATTCTCTAGCTCTGACATCAACAAGGCAGCGGGCATCCACACAGAAACTGCATTAACGCTCACTTGGCGGTATTTCCTCTTTTTTGGACCAGCGGTCTCTTTAAACCCATAGAGAGTTTTTTATTGTAGGCTGTAAATTTTTAGGAAAATTAAAATCCTAGTATTATCATCAGTGGTTTTTGAAATACGCAGACTAGCCCGCCTTTGGCACCAACAACGCCATACCAGTTTCAGAAAGAAAGACAAAATGCAGGCAGGGCACTTAAAGCCCCTTTCTTCCCCATGTTTTCTAATGCTCAGACTTTTTTGAAATTTAAGTTCACCGGAACAAAGCTGCCGGCCCCAACATGGCCGGGGACGCTGTTCTTGGGTAGGACAATAATTGGGCAGAGAGCGCCCAAGTGCCCGAGTGTAGAGATAAATACCACGCTACACTCGAACCGGCTGAGGTTAAAAATAGGCCGACCACTGAGCTCCACCTACTGTACAATGCATAGAATCAGAGTTTGCGCCGCATCCTCTGAAATAGGCTGCCGTTTGGCATAGGCCTAGTCTGTGCAATTTGGCCAGAATGAGATAGCTATGATGGAATAGCAATAAATGGATAATTCTGTCTCTAGAGGAGGTGACTGATTTTATTGTAAGTGTGTTTGAATTCTGACCAATCTTGTTTATCAAAGGGAAGGTCTGGTGAGGTCCATTTTAACTGGGCCTGTAAAGAATAGTCAGATATCCAACTATTAGGGCCCGAAGTGCGCAAAAGTTTTTTCAGTGGCGATACTTGTGTTGGGTTATCAAGGGAACAAAACTGCCCATAGATGGCATGGCATAGTTGGTAATAATAGAACAGACAGACCATTAGCTGGGAGACAGAATTCCTCCCTAAGTTGTGAGAATGCTTTGAACTCCTGCTCAGCATAAAGCTGGTGTATAATCCCCCCCCCCCCCCCCCCCCCCCCCCCCCGACGAATGTTGGCGATCTGAGACAGAGAGGCGTTCTGGTAAAATAGGATTGGGTTATTTGGAGAACATTGTCAAGAGGTTTCCTGCATTTTTGGATTCGAGAAAACAGAACAAGAGAGCTGCATAGCATGGAAATATCTGGGCCCGCTGGTACCTTCTTCCTATAAACAATGTTGTGTAGTATCTCATAAGAAGACCTAATGGATGCCTCCACTGCTGTACAGGTGTTGCCAGACAAAGGCCATCAATTTACGCAGCGCTTTACATATATATTGTACATTCACATCAGTCCCTAACCCTCAAGGGGTGTACAATCTAAGTTTCCTAACTCACATTCATACATACACATTCTAGGGTCAATTTAGACAGCCAATTCACCTACCAGCATGTTTTTGGAGTGTGGGAGGAAACTGGAGTACCCGGAGGAAACCCACGCAGGCCCAGGGAGAACATGCAAACACCAGGCAGCAGGTGCCGTGGCTGGGATTCGAACCAACGACCCTAGTACTGCCAGGCAGAAGTGTTCCTGTTGGGACTATTCACCCTTTGTATATGTTTTGATGAGCAGAAATTCAAAAGTTTAGATTTGCCCCCAAAACAAGAGTTGAGTGATATTTTACAATGGGGACAACTGTTCTGGTGACAATGCTCTAAGAGGATAAGTCCCCTCACTTTGGGAGATTTCCCTTCCCTTTGGGTTTCCGTGACAGGAAGTGAAAGGAAATTCCCCTAATAGTACAGACTGCAATAAAAAATGGTGTGTTAACCAGCCTCTACGCTATCCAAAACTAAAAAAAGAAAAAGCTTGGGATATATATATATATATTTTACCCAGGATTTATGCATTTTTCCTGGTAAACCCAATTAGAGAAATGTGTGAAAGCTGAGTGCATTTATGTGAAAAACATTTATAAAGAGACCTGTTGAAGTATAATGTTCATGGCTGTACCTGTAATCGGGTAATTCGTAATGACCATCGTGGGTACCAAGTGTTGCAAGATACCATAGAGGAATTTGGGTCTGAAATTAATCTTCTGTAATCTTATAATAAATGAGTGGCACATACTGTATTTACCTGAGCCTTGGTGAATTTCTAAGCACTTGTTCTGTTCCTCTTTTTCTTAGGTTGTGAAGAAGAGCTACTCCAAAGGGTACACCCTGCATATCACAGCTCTGTTTGCCACCCCCAGGACAGTGGGAGCAAGATTAGAACTCACAGAAGAGCAGCTCTTACTCTGGCCTCTGGATGCTGAGAGAGAAGTGATGCCCAAGGATACATTCCCCCGGGGAAGCCGTGCCCACGTCACCCTGGGCACTGCAGCTGAGGTCCAGGATGTTCAAACTGGTATTGACCTTCTGGAGTTTATAAAGCTACAGCAAGCTGGCAGGGAGGGGGAGAGTTTGGGTGAGCTGACCGGGTCAGTTGCTGGTAAAGTCTCCTACTTTGATAATGGCTTGTGGATGGTAAACCTGTCCAGAAAGATTGAAGTGAAGTCCATCTTTTCTGGTTACTATGGCAAACCAGGTGTCAATGTCCCCCTGCGTGGTAGCAAAAAGGGTTTATTACATCAGTGTCACATTATGTGACTGGAGGTAACCAAACACTTTGGGTCCAAATAAATTTCATTTTTGTTTTTTTTCAGTTGAACTTAACATTTAGTATTTAATAATAAAAGACTGATGTATATGAAGGCCCTCACTATTTACTAATTAAAGCATGTACTACAAGTACTACTTTCCACAGTATTTTATAGTTTAAATATAAAATGGCAATGTATAGAAGTCAGAGGCTTTAACCACTTCACCCAGGTGGACATCATATGAGGTTCTGGGAGTGAAGGGGTTATACCGGAATAATGCCTGCACCTTCAGGTATCATCCCAGTACCAAAATTTACAGCAGCCAATGCCCCGTAAAGCAGAAGTGATTTCATTGGCTGTACAGTGATTGAGTGGCTGTACATGGATCAAGCTGGGTCTGTTAGAGGTGATGGTGAGTGTAGTTATCTCCATGTTTTCAGTCTGTCCCTCAAAAACAAGCAATATCCCGGTCCCACCAATCTGCGCCTTGGTTTCTCTCTGCACTACATATCAACCTGTAGGCATTTGCAGGGAATTGTGCCATTAAGACTTAGGAATTGAGAGAGAGCCCAATACATCCCCAGGACATTTAAGAGGCAAAAATTGGTACTGGTGATTCTCATTTTATTTGCTTTTTCTTATTGAATCAATATCCACTTGATAGTCTTTAAGCTTCTAATATGTACCACTCTATGCATTGACTAAATTATCCAAGAGTATTTGGCTTTATGCCTCAATAAAGGTGAGAATGGTGCTAATGCTTTTTGTAAATCTTTTTTTTTTTTTTTTGGACTAAATCTGTACACATGCTGTTCACTTGCATAAACTGAATATCTGTGCAAAATTTTTGTTATAACCTTCGACATTTCAGAATATTTGCATTTTATCCACATATAAAAAAATAGACAACTGTGTTTTGGTTTAAGATGTTTCTAGTAATTTTTTTTAAACCTGAAAACTGTAGGCATTTTTTTCTCAAAAACATTGATTTATGCAATTAATCAATATATTTAAGTAAGCAAATCTTCTCTCTGGGGGAAAACAAGGCCTTTACTTCCTGCAGGGCTCTGTCAGATTTCTGCACCAGAATTCCCAGCTCCACCAAACTATTAAAGAATAAGCTCACCTTTCGTAACATGTTACATGTTACACCCATATTCAAGTTTTTTAAATACAAAAAGATGTGCATTTATAATTTTTTTTTGTTTAAACTTCTCCTTTAAAGCCATTACTAGGGTCTCATTCTCCTCTGTGAAATGCAACCGTTGGAGTATGATGATGAAGCTTCATAGAAATTCTGATGGAGAGATCTCACCACCAGACTTCCGATGAGAAGCCAGCGGGATTTTATTTCACTAGCATCTACTGATACTTTTAACTATGAAACCCAAGATATAGGACAGACTTGCTCCCCATTTGCCTTCACTTTGGATGTGGACATCCCATTTCCAGTCAAGATTAGCATTCCGTAATTTTAAGGACCTCCTCAAAGAAGTACAATTTTTCCATCCCACCCTTGATAGATCAGTAGTAGTGTAGACTCATAAATAAACTTCATGTTTTGGATATTCAGTTACAGACCCAAGGTGTCTGATATATAACTAATGCAACTAAATACAAAACATTCAAAATAAATGTTATTTCCCTTTGCAGTGTAAAATTGTATAGTTCACATAAAGGAAAGAGTGAAGAGACTTTTCCAGCACAGTTTTCACTTCTTGTGCATGAAATGAGACATGTCCGTGTTCTGAAGGAGGGTATTTCCTCTATAGCATAAACATCTGTCAAATTATTTCTGCAACAATAAGCACAGTACTGCATTTATAAATATGTAAACTAAGGGAAACATTCTATATAAACTGCAGATTTCCTGTGTAAAATGTACAAAAACTAATATATTTGTAAACTGCATGAGACAAACTCATATTTAACATTCATTTCCTCCTATAGTATAGACCTGTAATCTCCAGTTTATTCATGCATTGATTGTACTTATGGCCAAATCAATACAAACCTCAAAATACACAGATGAAAAAAAAACCTGTGGTAATGTTTCTCCTCCCTCAATACAATAATTTCACACCAGTGCCTTTCCCTTTGTCCATCAGAGCAGGTATTATCACTGAAAGTATATCATAATTTTTTTTGAAGCTAGGCCTGTTTCCTGCAATAGGTAAGGGATTATATTGACCCTGGCCATGCCTCATGCATCTCCCCCCCCCCCCCCCCCCCCCATTCAAGTTTTTTGAAGATGTCTCAAGTTTGTTTGGCATTTGACTTATCCATGAGTGATAGATACCTGTTTTTGCCTGTTACATACTGTGGCTCTGTCCTCCAACCCCTATTTCATTAAGTAAACAGCAGTAATGTGGGGAGGGGGTCAGAGGATTAAGCCATAGTTCACAGTGGAGGACACTGACACTCCAGGTAACACATATACAGTACTAGGGCCATTTGACAGAAATACAGTGCCAGTTAGTCTACCAGCATGTCTGGAGTGTGGAAAGCAACCAGAGGAAACTCACACAAGCACAGGGAGGTAGCGGTCTAGCTGGGCTTCAAATTGAGGTCCTCGTGCTGAATGGCAGACATTTTAACCACTGAGCCACTGTATTGCCTAAGATTTGTGTTACGCACCTTTAATATTTGATAAATACACTTGGGCTATAGTTGGCTGGTGCTTCAGGGTCCTCAAGAAAGCTGTCACAAGGGTATCAGATGTTTTGCTAATGCTTCCTAGTCTAGAACTACCATACCCCTGTGTTCAGAGCACAAGGCCATGTACACATGAGATTCAGCTTGCTTGCATCACTGACCTGGGTAAGCCTGTATATCAGTAGTCTTGACTTCCTCTGGATATCTAGTCCGTGTGCTTGTTTTAGGTCAGTATTTAGGAACAGAGACATCCAGGCATTTGGCATTTAAGCAGGAGGCTGCAGTGTCAGTATACATTGCTTTTAATCAGATATGCATATGATTTTACACAGCTTCTAGGGCTGAATGATTGGGAGAAAGTGAGCTAGCAGTGTGCAGACCCTACTGACATCTGCTTCCATTTACCCAGCTAGTAGTATTAGTGATTGGTTCACTCTACACCAGATATTGTAGAATAGTGTAAAAACACTTTCTACAAAATGGGGTTTCTTGTCTTGCTTTTATGACATCCTATATATATATTGTTTGTGTCTCCCAAAAAGCTAGTAATAAGTTGCACCCCAATGCCACATCTTGATGTCGCTACAGGTCCATTTCCTAGACTTCATTCTCAATGCACTGGTTTACTTCTTTGTGCCTACTGCCTGATCTTGTGTGGCAAGCCCCAAAAATGGACCAAACATTGGGTTTGCCCTATACAAACTGTGACTACATATACCCAGGGTGTTTTTTTTTTTTTTTTTTTTTTAGAAACTGCTTTTATAATTCTACAAATGTATCTAAGCATTTTATTCTCCTACCTTGTGTATTAGCTTTCATTTTTTATAAACTGGATTAGATAATGTAACATATTGCTAACTGTATTTTACATTAAAAAAAAACAAATAAAATTTTACCAAATTTTTAATAAAACAAGTGTGTGAGTTTTATGTTAGTGCTTCTGGATGTTTACATGGTGGTTTTAATAATGCAGCATTACACATGGTCAATACAGAAGTTATTACTAAACACACAACCGTAAAATCAGTCTGTACTGCCTTGAAAGAGTATTCATACCCCTTGAAATGTTCCACATTTTGTCATGTTACAACCAAAAACGTAAATGTATTTTATTGGGATTTTATGTGATTGACCACCACAAAGTGGCACATGTGACAGTCGCAGCGTCAGACCCCAGCCCTTCTCACCAACTCGTGACCGAAGGACTAGCCAATCTAAAACTGGGCTGTCACATGCGTAACAACACCACGCTCCGCTGCACCCTGCACAAAGATTTTCCAGCTAATGGACCACAGTCTATGTACCGCAGTCTGAGAGCGATTTGTTACTGGGTCAGGTTAATTACGCAATTAACCCTTCACACTGCCACCACCTCCTTTTTGTACAGAGAGAGGAAACTCCCCAATCTTAGCAGTAACACTATGATGTTTGAATCAGTGTCTGGATACACACTGTCACCGCAGGCAGATGTATCCAGAGGTTTTAAAACACAGCAGCGCTCTTCAGACCCAGGGATTCTTAGTTTGCATTAAAGAGCTTTAGAAACAGTTCAACACTTTTCAGAAAATAAGATTTATTACTAAAAAGGTCAAAATGCTGCAATAAAAGTATTTACAGAAAAAGATGTAGCATATATATATATATATATATATATATATATATATATATATATATATATATATATATATATATAAATACAGAGAGCAATAACACAACAGGGAGATAAAGAAAAGTTTAAGAAGGTAGAATACTTGCAGAAATCCTGGTTTAAGCAGCTTCAAGGGTCCTGAGCCAAAAGGGTGCCCTTTCTCCCAAAGTTTGTTCCTGATGTTAAAGGGGAGATCTCTTCATCTTACTGCTCCAAGCATAACCACCTCTTTTCTAGGAACTCAGCAGGGTGTCTCCTTAAAGCAGAGAACCAATTGCCTCATTTGGGGAGGGGTGTTTTAGGCGGAGAACTCAGGCTATGACCAAATCCCTCACAAGTTATACCAGGGCAATAACCTTCCCTAGGTACATGTAGCAGCCTAGCCACTAGTAGATTAATATGCAAAATGATATTCTGAACGTCCAGACATCAAATATGCCATACCTTCCTATTTCAGCTAGAAGTATATGGCTTTCTGCTCTCCTGTAGACTTTAACTAGGGGTGTAAGATATCAGGCGACTCGAATTAAACTGAGCTATCCGAATATATGCTTTGTTTCATTGTAATTATTTCCTATCTTAAGATATGAAATTATATGGAAAAGTGGGTTTTAAATGTGATGTCTGTTTTATGGCTATCTCGGAATGTCTTTCATGTTCAGTGAAGGACTGGTTTATAGCTTTACAATCACCTCCAAGCAAGA